AACTTTGTCAAAATTATTTCAGTGCTAAACATATTTTATATCAAGTCAGTTCATTGGTAAATAATATTTTAATGGTGTTGATATATGATGCATTTCAGTTGAAAACCCAAAGTTCAGATTTTCAGCGTAACTGCTGAAGTTGTTTATAGCACTACTTCATCCTAAAAACAAGAATTTAACAGGTAGTAATAGTTTTCACCCATTTACCATGCATTAAATTCTGGAATCATTCATAGTAAAGTTAAATTTAATTTTCGTAGTGATGGCTAGCAGTAAAATTCAGTACGCACGTTTCACCCCATTTGGGACTTATCACCTGGATGAACCTACACCTAAGCGAATGATGTTATCACCACCAAGACTCAAATCTAGTATCCATCGCCTCAAAAGCCGAATATTACTCACTAGGCTATCAAGCGATGTCGAAGCATCCGCACAGGAGTTTATGTGGTCATGGTGGTCCAACATTTCTATCTATAACAATGTCGTTGAGTTGAAAGTTAAACTTACTTTACAACAGCTGTCATCAAAAATGCAAAATTGAAATAATACTAAGATGGAGAGGGTTCTTGTTATGTAGTTAAATCAGTGGGATTTATCAACAATGGAAGAACAGTGTAAAAGATCGAAGTTATTTAAGAAAATAGCTTCAAATGCTTTCAACCCTTAAATATACAAATAAAGATCTAGTTCTATCGCAGATAGTAATTTCTACTGTTGACACATCTTTGGTTCTAAGTAATATCTCTAGGCCGAATTCGTGATATGTTCACCATATTTGGTGAACTTTATTCAATATTCGGTGATATGACTGGGAAAGCAAGAGGCTAGGTGACTTGGCTTTGAGCATACCGTCACTTACTAGTAAGATAAATTGGCAGGCAGGAGAAGAATATTACTTTGTCGAAGATTTCAACGTCCAACACTCACTGCTGAAATCCAAAAGCATAATTATCCAGTTTGTCCAAAGTAAAAGTATCTATTATGATTGTAGTTAGATACTCAATACAAATTATAATTCATTTTCTAGCAATAAAGAATAAATGATGTACTCTCCGACTAACGACTTAAAATTTTTCACTGCTATTTCCGTCGTACATAGTGTCAGCAAATAATAAATGCTAATGTAATTTCATTGAATACTTTTCGCACGATAACAGCGTCTATATTTTACAAATAGTTGTTTTTTACAGTCGCTACTTTACAACTTCTGACTAGTATGTTATTTTTCATAAGGTACTACAAATTGATTTTAATACGTTTTAACGTTTATTTCCTGTTGACTTACTACAAAGAAATGCGCTAATTCCTTTTGAACATTAAAGAAAATAGTCGGTAGTAAAATTACACATTCAGTTTTCTGTCTCTATGTATTCTTCTACATTCGTATACAAAAAGACTACTTATAAAATATCAAAGAAACAACCGAGGTAGACACTAAAAAGGGTGATTGTTTCTAAATGTTAGGCATGTACTTTATTTAGACTTGAGATGACGTTGGGCTAAGTGAAATGGTAGAAATAGTTGAAATACACCAATTATTGCATTTTTTTGTTGTTGCTAGAAACAGTTTGATATCATTGTAAGAAACTTATTTCACTGCATTAACATATATATATATATAATTGAAATGTTATCCTACATTTCCGTTTTCTTCTAGGTTTATTTTGAAAATCTATAGACGCTTTTTTCAGTAATATTCGTCATCAGCAATCATTAAACAACGAAGATCCTGAAGTTTGTATGCTTAGCTAGCGAACATAAATAATTACTGTATATTCTTTATCGAATACAACACAATGATTTCAGAAAAAAGAATTAAAGTCATCTCGCTGTATAAAACTGTTACCCCTAATGAATCTCTTGAAAATATTGGCTAGTAAAGCTTATCAGGCAAACTAATATTAGTCCCATTTTAGTCCGTTTATTAGATATGTCACACAATGAAACAGTGTTATTTGCTGGACCACGTCTCGGACATAATTTATTATCCATATTAATTTATTCACATGACACGATTATTATGGCTGGAGCATTATCCAATAAATAACACTGTCTCACTGTGACATTTTCAATAAATGGACTAAAATGGGATTACAATCCTCAGCAGTGCCCAAATTCTACTTTTAAACCAGCATTAGGATTGAATTCTAGGATTTGAAATCTTCCAGCTAACCACCTAACAAAAATGACAGAAATACCAATCATGATGGATCTTTTTGTGTGTCACCGACAGTCTTCAAATATGTGACAGAAGATACTGAGATTACTTAGACATGTAAAATTGAGAAATTCGTCAACCATTTGTCATTATCCTTCTTAAAACTTATGCTGACTTTTGGTAGTTGACACAGTTATAGACCGATCATGTCATTTAAGGCATTCAACAATCATTTTATTTCTTCTCCAACTGTCATTTTGTTCGCAAAATTTATTTGTGTAACTTTCTTGCTGTGATCCGCAGTAGCCAAAGAACCATGATTTTAGTCTATCCTAACTATCAATGGTCGGTTAAATTTTATAATTTTCATTCCATTTCCTGAAAAAAAAACTCTCTGGGCAAGATGACCGGCAACACTATGGAGTTTTCAATTTTATAATGTTTTAATTAGTCTTAGAATGGGTCTTCCCTAGGTATATCACCCGCATCGAGGATGCTTTGATTTTATTTGCCATACGACTGGCTTAGCAGCAGGTTTATTAAGGGTGTAATTTGAATAGTTCAACAGTCTAGACTAAAATAAATCTGGGACTATGTACAGGAACGCAACTTGAAGCGAGCAAAAAGGTAGTCAGTTATTAAGATCACATTGTTTCTGAGCGGATTGAATGATTTTCAATTTTTAAAGTCTGTCAGCAATATATATCATGGAGCTCCATAGAAAGAATCATTTTAGACTAGTAGTTAATTACCTGGTATCCAGTTTGGTGAGTACTTTACCAATCTCCTTAATTGAACATATATGGATTTTAAAAAATTTCACTTTTCATCCCTTCTTATCTTACTAAAATAAATGCGTTCACAAGAGTTACATATTTTTTATAAACTGATGATATATTCTTAGTGTTGTCTTTTGTGGTTACTTAATGAGTGAACAAAGAATTTCACTCATCTGTCAGATATCAACAGATTAGACATATATTTTAATGACTTTTCACCCAGTCAACAGCATTACCTGAAAATGATTCTTCATTCCTTTTCTACATACTTTAATATTTTGACTAGAAACATTGGTTCTGAAAATGAATGAATATCCCTCGCATGTCGGATTTATTTACCGTTACTAAAGTTAGGGTTTGTATGCATATGTAATTAACAAAAGGGTTTTTGATCCAGCAACCAACACGGAACATAAATACAATAGGTATTAATTAAATATCTCTTCAGAAAACATTGGCTAAACATGAAATATAGCTGCTGAATTTGTTTGCTTGTGGGTTTCGTAATTGTATCCGTGTGCCTAAAGGGAAGAGCAGAAATATAACTAGTAAGTCGTGTTCGAAGTAGTAACTGTATACAGAAACCCTAATTAAGCATGATACATGAACGGTAAAATGACATAGCAACAAAAAGCCATATAAAGTGTCAAAATGAGAAAGAAATTTGATGTTTTGACTGGTCACCTTGAAAGTATCAATTGATAGATCATCTGTCGTTTCATGTAAAATAGAAAGAGTCGTAATTAGGATAAAATACTTTTGGGACTAAAATATTCCTTACACATAACCGCAGTATACATATAAAGCACAAATTTGAGTCTTGGGTAACTGAAGGTTATCAGTAAGAAGCCATGCACCTCATTTTAATGCTCTTTGGTGTTGTTCAGTAATCCACATCTTCAAACTAAGTAGGATTGTTACTCTTATAGAGATGTTAAGTACCACCAATCAGTGTTGCATTCAGAGATGTTAACACTGACCTATTGAGTTTATAACTGAACTCCTGAAAGACTGTGTAACATATATTCATTGGTAGCTCAAATGGGATCACTGCTACGTTTTCATCCTGAAAACATTGTTGATAGAATCTGTTCAGTACTCAGGACTAAGCAAAATGATGACCATTACTCTGCAGTGGCGAATCAATGACATATTCAAATTGTACGGTAATTTAGTTATGGTTTGTTAAGTTATTGTTTTTAAGGAGACTTGGGAGATTAAAGGTACCTGTGGTAAGTGATGACCTAGTTTTCCTTTCCAAGCAGTTTTATTCATTATCCTAGGATGAAGAAATTAGTTTATTTTGGACAAAACAGCATCACAAGACCTATCAGTCATAAATATGGTTGATTTAGGAATAGGACATGTTGAAAAAACCAGTTTATTTTATTGCATTTAAAGATAAACTTGGATACCACTTTTTATCTTGAAGAAGCAGTTTATTGCTGAGATATAATCACCTCTCTTTTTGATTACCTATTAATCATTTTTATTTTAAATATTGATTATTATGCTGGTTAATCATCCAATTAAGTAGGTGATAAGACTGAAAAGGTTCTGGCTGACATTAGAATTCTGAATACGTCTGTTATTTTCTTAAGTACAATTAAATGACGAAACAAGGTGACACAGACATTCATACAGAAAGAATCATTTCATCTTATTACGGTTTCTCTATATTGATGTTAAATTCCTGTCTAATTTTCCTCTTTCCTTATGACTATCTGGTGCATGTAAATAAGTGAATTCGACATCTTAATTATACCTCTTGGTCGTATACACACTTGAAAGCTGCTTCGTTTACACTTAAGACGCTGAAGTTGAAAAGAAACCCAGTTCACTTCTTGAAAAATGAAAAAGATTCGAATTATCAATGTCGTTCAACGAATAAATAGATAAAATTTCCCCCAGATAAATATGTGCATGCATGTACCTACAAATGTGGTTAGTTCAATTTTCTCAAGGTAATTGAAATTTATTAGTGGTGATTGGTTCATTGATGTTCGATAGATTTATAGACAGGTGGTAGTTTTAATTAATCTCGGTGGACCAATTAATTTGCGAGTTTTGTGTAACAAACTAAAGCACAGTGTTTGTTTTTTTCCTCAAAAAAAAGGAGAAGAAAAATAAACCAGTGAAAGCAACGATGTTGACTTGATGATCATTATGATTTGAATGAGTATTGTTAGGATGTTCTAAATTAACTGATAAAATATGTAAATTTTGTAATAAAGGGTACATACGCTATTTGCTACTCATAATAGAAAGGGTAATCACAAGTGGTGCATTTGAACCTGCATTAAATTGACTTTCGTACATATTCTAACTCATTCTCATCTCTTATACATTTATTATTGCAACTCACACTATGATGCATTCAGAATGCTGGCAAACGCAAATTTTCTACAGTAACAGTCAGTCAAAATTCAATGTTATATTTCATTTCTTAATATTTTCATTCAGTATTTTTTCAAATTTCAATTCACTTTTATGTTTAAATTCATACAACAAAATTCCAGATGACTGTAGTGAAATACCTAAATATTCTAGTGTTATTCGACGACCAGGTGATGGTAGTTTCGAAATTCGTATTCAGCTTCTGCCACCGGATGTGAAACGTCGACGAGGTAGTGGAAACAATGGTCATGTGATCCTTCAGTCATCTGACTTAAGTTCACCAAATTATAAACCACCTATTCATTATTTAAGTGGTCGAGATTATCTGATTGTCGTTGCACCTAAGCTGGATTCACAAACACCTAAGAATGGATTACGCCTAGAGTCTGTATACCTTACAGTTGTCCCTTTAGGTACACCAGAAGGAGAAGAATTTCATCAAGCGAAAGGAAGATTTATGCCAACAGCTTGTTCCAATCCGGCTATAGGAGTTATTCGTTTCGCATATAACTTTCCTAGACATGTTAGTTTCGTGTGGACAAGTCCACCTAACTCAGAATCAACAACTTTGAAGTATAACCCAAGTCTTCAAAACTTCAATGCTTGTCTAGATATAAGAGCCACCATCATACCATGGCATTGGCATCGTTTCTATTTTAAAAATGCCGGATCACTTCGACATATCTTATGCCCAGCAGAAGATCTGCGTCAAATTGACGAATGGTCAGAGTATTTACACGCAAATACGAAGTCATTCAGGAAAGTTAAAAGTGATAACGTTAAAGCGCGTTCTATCACTAATATTGGAAAAGCTGATAATGAGGATGGGAAAAATCACAGATATAGTGATAGTGGTTATTATGGGGCTGAAGAGATGGATTCTTGTTCTGTTCAAGAGCTGCCAAAACCAGTTCGTTCATGTTGTGCATGTAATACAGCCATCTATCGTTTAATTATTCAGTCTGACTGGCAACAGCAACAACACTGGAGAGATTGGCCAACTACAATTACCGGTACTGGGACTACATCAAGTGAAAATCCACATTGGAGTGAAATTCTTGGTTAGTTTTACCATTTTTCTTTTTAAAAGGACTACTTTGGTGACATATTCACTAGTGATACGCTTGATACATTTTATAGATATGCATGAACACTATATCTTTAAAAAACTGCTATTAACTGCAACCGCAATATGAAAGTTGTCAGATTTGCTACAGTATTATGTCATTGGTATTATATTTTCGATGAAAATCAGCTCTGGATCAAATTCACTCGCTTAAGAGAGTTATGTTTGAATCAGATTTAGCTGATCACCAAAGAAGAGTATCAATAAAAGCGTAACCGAGTAAACCACAGTTTTCACACAGGTACAGATAGAGCTATAAACTGCCCAGTAGTTTTGAAAGTGTATAGTTCAACTCTGAAATTTGCCGTTATTATATTTCTGTTTTATCTGTCAGCGTTAACTTCCTGTTGAGCATTTATTAACTTCGCTTCAGTCAGCCATAAGCTACCCATGACAATCATAGTTATCCTTATTAGTTGGTTTTTTCCTTTAATTCTCTCAGACTTTCTGACTGCCTGACAAAATCACTGCAGAACCTCATACACATGTATATTGGCTCAAGTTGCCACACTTTACAGCAATGCACAAACAACAGCTGGATGGAACAAGAGTGATATTAAAATAGATAAAATTTTGTGAAGAATAAACAATTTGGAGATTATGGTCAGTAAGGATATTTAAGCTTTAGATATCAAGGAATGAATACATCTACATGATTGTGACTGGTTTTCAGCGAAGTCACCAAGACTCCTCAACCACTAATTCCTGTCATCTCGCTGACCTCAAACAAGCAATCTACATCTTACCACACGGCTCAAACTAACAGTTAGAGACTTCATCGACTGATCCCACGGCTTGATCTGGTCAACCTGAAACCTCTTACAACCTAACCCAAATTCTCTTAGCATAGTTCGTCAAGGTAGGTGGTGGCTTGACATATGCAGTACACATCCAAGTCATTTCAGTCAAATGAGTTTCACAATCTCATCAATCGACTTGTCTCTCTTGTCTAGTACCCTTTGCTTGACCTCAACACTGTTCACATGATGATTTCAGTAAATGTGAGCAATGTAACAAGGACACCTGTGATCGGGACTTGTAGTCGTTTCATGTTTTCTACTTCCAACGGTTACGTCTCAGCCGTATAACAGGACAGAATGGACAGCAGAGCAGTATACTCCTTTTTTTGATTGATAGTCGGATATCTCGCCAGTTGGCGTCACAGGTGACGCAGCTTGGTGCGTGTCTAACTCCTGCTGCTTGTGAAATATTACTATTACTATCATCACATCAGTAAATGAAATTTTTTCTCAGCCTTGAGTGGTAGGGGCTTCACATACAACCCAGATTTCATTTGTATCTTTAAAGCCGTTATTAGTGAGCGTTGCAGCATCATTCACTAAATGTATGGAGATCATTTGGTTAGTTTGCAAATTAACCTAAGAAACTTCAACAACCACCGTGAAACTATATTTTACTGAAGAGGTGTTTGATCCCAGTTTAGATACCTTCGCCAGTGTTGACACACTGTAGAAGTAGAGAATATAAACCATTACAGATTATTCATTCGATTCGTCTTAGCATCCTCTGGGTCTACCTAACTGAAATCAAAATATTTTCCGTTGATATCCGTTTTTGAAATTCATGATTAATGAAGATTGAATTTTAAAGTATTAACTCTTTATATTTTGTCAAGGATGTGACCAATGTGCATGTTTAGTTGTGTCAAAGTTTATGTTGGATGTAAGATTTCAGCTTACAAATCTGGATTGGAAAGTGACGCTTTTAGAATTAGAAATTATGTATAACAAAATTAGTAATGAACACATCTGTTGTGACTAGAAAGTACCATTTAGTTTTTAAGCAGATGACCAATAGTTTAGTTGAGAATGATTATTACTTGGTTACTACTATCAGTGTTGCATTTTACGCAGACACATTCAATGTTATTTTTTGTCAGGTAATAATGTATAATCACACATCGTCCACACTGTTTATTAATAGTAACGTAATATATTCAACTACGGCTATACAATCAATGGTTCACCTCAAAAAAGGATTGATATCCTTAAGCTCACACTAAGGAGCTGAATCATACAGAGCTAGTACTGACAGCTTCATGCACATATTCCCCTTTGTAGACTTGAATAGAAAAAGAACGAGAATTGAGGTGAAATAACATGGTATCATTTTACTTCTCCAGTTCCTCGTCATCACTTTGCAACCCACTAACGTTTAACAATCATATTCTAGAAGAATCAGAACATACCTTTTTGCAGTCAAATGAAGTCACTTCATAGGGGGTGATATGGCTCACTAGAACGTGAAAACGTACAGATAAAGTTAAAAAGATATGCCAAGAAGTTTTAGCCATTTATGTGACTCAGCAAACAATCTGACAGAATAATATGGGTAGTCATAAGAGATTAAATGAGGAGAATAACATGTCGAATAAGAAGAAGAGTAAGGTATTCGGTCACTAGGTTAAAGAAAGGGTTATCACTACTTCTTTTTGGACGCATAATACCCATCCTGGTGGTTTGGTTGCTATGACTTCACGGAACTTGAAGAGATTTGAATTATTTTGATTTTTGATTATCTTGAAGGATTCTGATTTATCCACTACATCCCTGTGTCGATAAGATACTATGTGACTTGAGTACTGAAACAATGTGTTCCTCTGAGACGTGGGCTTTTTGATACATATTCAAGGAGTTTAAGGTATGCGTTCCTCTCTGTTCTCTCATTGTGGCTGCTATCACAGATGCACATAAACTTGCATGCACTGACAGACAGCTTAAATTTTTCTCAAAAAAGCTTTGTCGTTCCGTTTACTATAAATGTAATTAAAAACAATTCATACTTTTATGGTGTAATTTCAGTATTTTAGTCATCAAACAATTATTTTCATTGATTTTATTTTGTTCTCTCACGACATTGGACAAAATATATAGACAAAAATCCTTTTACTGTTCAAATTAAGGCTTAAATATACTTCACTTCTTTCTTTGTGTATCAAATAAGTGAAATATTATTTAAGTGTAGAGCAAAGACTGTCAATAAATGACCTAAGCCAGAAATATCAAGTGATATCATTTAGAAGCAAGAGTTAGTAGCATTCTAACGCCGAAAAGTTCTTACTTCTACAGATTAGATGCAAAATACTATTTTTCTAAATAACTCATGTTTTGCGAAAACTTCACAAACCTTACGACTTTCACTTAGTGACAACTGGAAAAAAACTGTAGTTAGAAGGTATTTTTGGTAATTAATCAACAGGCCTTGAAAATACATGTCAAAATCATTAAACACAGACCTTTCATAGCCTTGTGATGAATAAAATTTTGAACCATATGTGTGAATTAGGGGATGATAATGACAAAATACACAAATTGTTTAAGGCAAAATCTGTGTAATAAAATATAAATACAAGCGATTTTTAATTTGTTGACGGAAAGAATAGTAAACTCAGTCAAAACCTCATTTACGGTCTCTGTGGTGGTTACAGTGCACTTGAATGCTAAGACCAGAGTTTTATTATTCTGCATAGCATGTTATTGTAGTTTTTGTGCGTATTTCTGTTGTTTTGACTTCAACAGCCATTATCTGTGATTCAGATGTAAGTGAGACAGTTTTATTTCCCAAAGAAACGAGATCAATATACATTAACTACGTTCATTTCCACTATATGAAGTAATATCATCAATTTATTCCTTTGCACCAATCAGATTTCTGGGTTTTTTGAATTTTTTATCATTTCTGCTATTTTATTGTGACTGAGATTAGGTGATAACTTCTTTATCTCTACCCAGACACAATTCCAGCATAACCAATTATCTGGATTATACTAACACGAGTGATTACTAATATTATCGTTATTTTTCTTTATTTCAAGAATTCCTTCAACCACAGTGTTGTCAAATATCTGTATTGCACAGATTTGTTACATGATTTTAGGTAAATTAAAGTATTTTCTTAACCCCCGTTCTCAGAGTACTCCTAGTACTGTAAGCAAGTGGACATTTTGCCTTGTATTTATATCTCATTAACAGTCAGAAAAAGAATTTTTGCAAACACAGAAATATGAAGTATGGTAACTACATAACACAACAAAGCTAGATTTAAACTTTTCCTCCTGAATTTTAGGTTGCTAATAACCAAACTATTATTTCATCTGGATTACAAATCTGTACCTGACTGCTGGGTTGCATAAATCATTACTACTAGTGAGAAAGACTGGAGTTAATCATGGCGGTTTATTGCGAATTTTATAGTGAGAATCCTTGGAGATTAGGTTTAGCTTCATACAGTTCATAAACCAAATTTTAATTGAAAATCTCAATCTGTATAATGAAATACTTGTTGATTTGCAAAGTGGTAGGTCGGAGTACTGAATTTACCCAAAATGCTGATTGAAATATTTTTGTGCAACTATCTATCGCAGTGAAGTATTGGAAATATACACAGAAGTATTTTTAAGTCAGCTTTAGACTCGGCAAAGTACATAAACTACTTATTAAGTGTAGCTTGTATTCTGCTTTGTGATGTCGGCCTACGTATTCCTGTGAACCAAGCACATCGCAATCAAACGAAATTTTGAGTAATTTTCATAACGAGCTAGTGTGACTTAGAGAATTAATGAAAACCTTAAACCACTGGTTAGTCACTCTTTCTAGTTTACGACAAATCAGATGAGCGGACTCAAAATTCCTCAAGAGATTAAGCCAAATAATACGAGGTTTCGTACAGAACGCATAGTCCTCAAATGAACAAACTGTGCAAAAACGTGGGAGTTATTATAGTATTCGTGGATGCTGTTCACCCAAACGACATGGTTATGCTTATCTCAGAATATTCTAAAAGTTATAACAATATGAAGGAAGCAGACAAGGTTACGTAAGATAAAAACCTTTTTCTGACGTGATGCAGCCATAGAGAAAACTTACGTATATTTACGAAATAAATAACTCTATTACTGAGGGATTATTTACCATG